ACCCGATAATTATTGCATGTTGGCTGAACGGTTGCGAATACGAATGATGTATTATTGCTATAAGGACTCTGACAACTGAGAAGGGAAATAATGATGTATGAAGTGTCTTATAAATCTATAAACTATATAAAACACGAAAAGAGGGAGTAAAGAATCTTTTTTCTCTGCAGGAACCTGGCCAAAGTCTAAATATGTAAACAAATTTTGATCAGAATCTTTTGAGTAAACTAAAAATTCCGAGTTATTCAAGTAAATATACTGAGAAAAGTTCTACTAATTCCTGTTAATTCCATAAGTCAAAAGTTATTATAAAAACAGATTTGACTTTAGTTATTACATTATGCAAAACAATTATAAATAAGGAAAAGTACATTATATCTTTGAGCGCTGACTGACACCCAAAACGTTCCAATTCAACTTCTTAAACTGTCAAACACCAAGCGGTCACCGGTGACCGCAACCTATTGTTCTATAATTGTGTCTACAAAACCGGTACTCGACGAGTTAATAGGCCACCTATTTGAGTACTAGTAAGATACTTACTGAGTCAAGAGAATCCGAAAACTTACGCAGCCTCAAAATCTTAGTATTCCCAGCTTCAATCAGCTCATAAAACGAAACAACGCAATTGAGAATCAGTTGAAAGCAATACAGCTAAGTAAAAATAGGTAAGTACCAACATTAGAAACATCGATACAAAATACGTTTCATTTCGAAAAGACTTCTTTAAATCGAGTTAAAAGATCGGATACGGCTCCGAGTCCATTTAAAAAATAAACAGTATCATTTTGCCAATCCGATGGTGATCTCTACTGGATATTGGGTGCTCATTGGAGGGAATGATAACATTTAGGGCATTCGCTATCTGTTTCATCGAATACAATATCCGATATTCGATCTCGTCAAAACCCCAGGTGAGTTTGCGATGTTATATTCAAATGTGTTGATGGTTTCAATTTAGGAATTTAGCTTTGTGTTTTAGAGTTGATTTTGCATTGTGTTCTTAGTGGGTGTATGTTTGAAATATTACCTAGACCTAGTCAGATACTACCACGGATGGGGCCCAATAGGGCTGATGCCGATTCGGAGTCGCGGAGAACCTAACGGGTTACCGGGGCTCCGGCTCGACGTGCAGGAGAAGGAACGGGGTGGTTTTTAGTCAGTAAGAGTCTGACATTCGATGATTTTCCCACCTTAATAAAAAAGTCAGATTTTTTCAAGAAATAACTGTTTTATGAACGCAGTTTCATTTCCCACAGGGCAAGAACGCCTTTTGCTGCCTCTTTTGACCACTTTTAGATATAGTAAAGTAAGACATGGAGCAAAAACTATTTGCTTATTTACAAAAATCTGAACTGTTCCCACATCTAAATTGTAGTAGGAATCTTTGTATTTTAGTCCATCTAACAATGTATATAGGTCACAGAATCGACAATCTGTAAGCAAGTAGCCTTATTCCAATGCAAACTTTACGTTCCTTGCAAATTGCAATGCGTCGGACTACATACGGCTAACACAAGGATACACAAACCGAGATTAAATTTCTTTCTGTTTTAAAAATAAAAGAAACGAAGTGTGCCATCTGGTCATTCTCAAAGTCTTCCACGAAAAGTTTGTTGGAGTCCAAGGCATGAGCTGAGAGAAGTTGGACGTATCAATTTCTTACAAAGGGTTCAATATAGGAAGGTATTTATTTCGAAATTTTTAAAGGTAATGTAAATGACTTTTGGCGTAGTGCGTCGTGTAATTTAGAGGCAGAGTTTTAAAATAAAACTCGTGATATTCAATGGCAAAACTTATAATCGACTTGTCCATCAAAAGTGTAACGGCATAATGTGTCACAGAGTTAATCATAAAACCATAGACGGTCAATGGCGACCATTGAAAATATCAATACATAACATACATTTACATAACATCACGCCTTTTATCCCCGGAGGGGTAGGCAGAGCTGCACACAGAAGTAACACCCACTTTTCACTATTTATATTATGAGTCCCATGTAATAGGGGGTGAGCCTATTGCCATATACCAGGCACAATTCCAGACTCCGTGCTATTACTGTGAATTTTTGAAAAACCCAGTAATACTTTGCTCGAGCCGGGAATCGAACCCGAGACCCTTTGCCCGGCAGTCGCACTTGCGAGCACTCGGCCAACGAGGCAGACAATATCAATATTCTCGTCATAATACTAAGAGTAGGTCCTATACATTACTATGCATGCATATCTAGTGATAGTGCGACGCCACAGACTCATGGTGAAAGAATGGAGGTAAAGCCAGCTTTAGTCAATTATATCATTGAGCTCAGATAGTAGTGGATTGTTCTCTCGATTGATTCTAGTTATTTGATATCATGTAGTTAAGTCATTAGCTAAAAGCAATATCGTACTAAGAGAGAAGACTTTTCTAGTTTTATAAGGTACCAATAACAAATTGTCGAATCGTGGGTGCACAGTAGACCCTTTGCGCATCTCGCGAGCAACGAAGTGTAATGTTACATTACTTTAAAGTGTAACTATTTTTTTTGGTTTAAGGCTCTCTATTGGTTTAGACTAGAGCTGTAGCACCCTCATCTCGTTAATTTTTACAGTGAAAAAGGAATTTATTTCTTGAATTCTCATTGTAGACGACAGAAACAAATTATATAGATAGGAATTCGCCATACTTATTAACCCCGAATAACCCACATAAATATGTTATTGACACAATCTGTGATTTATTGAATCGAATAATTGCTATTGTCATAGGCAAATACTATTTACTTTATGTGTAAAAAAGGTACTTAAAGTAAAATTGTCGAACAGATTGTACCTGTTAAAACTACGAGTGGTCTAAGTTTATAAAGATAGCTTGTTTTTTATCCATGTTTTATCTCATGGCAGCCTGTATATCTCCGTTCGTGTAACATATAACAAATTTTTTGTACAAAGGCCGCAAAGTTTTGGTGATTCTTTACTAAGTTTTAGCAATAAACTTGATTTATTCGTTCTTCTGCCACTTACTCGGTGTCGACAATCAGAATCAGACTGTTTACTGCTCGATTGCTCGCCTCGTTTGTGCTACCTGCTTTTTAATGAAATAGATTGTTTTAATTTTTGGGTTTTATCGTGACATTAGGTGCATTTTAGTTATTTATTATTTGCAGGATGAAGTCATAATGACACAATAAGGACTGCACAACTAGATATAATCAGTTTAAAAGTTTCAAAATAAAATTCGCTTTCCTAATCCAAGAACTACGAACTAAAGACACAACACTAAATAGACAATGAGACACTAAATAAACAAATAAAAGAAGTGTGAGAGAGCCATGCTTCGGCACGAATGGGCCGACTCGACCGGAGTGATACCACGGCCTCACAGAAAACCGACGTGAAACAACGTTTGCGTTGTATTTCGTCGTGTGAATGAGGTTACCGGAGGCCCAATTACCCCCCTCCCTAGTCTCCCGAATCCCCGAATCCCCGAATCCTCCACATTCCTCAAATTCCCAATTCCCAAAAGGCTGGTAACCCACCTGTAACGCCTTGGTATTGCGGGTGTCCATGGGCGGCGCCGGTTGCTTACCATCAGGTGATCCGTGTGCTCGTTTACCGGCTTATGCTATAAAAAAAAAGAGTCCTAAAGAGTAGGCCAGGCTTAAATCTCCCTAACTTTGTCAAACAGACAATATTAAATCCCAACAACAAATTGCAATACCATTATGGCTTTATGAAAAAATTCGTTTTAACTCCGTCACAGTAGAAATGTCGAAACGTGAAACATTTTTTGCGCACAATCCACTTAAAGTGCTGCCTGAAATCCGATTCAGTTATGGAATTCTCTTCCAGCTTGCAACAAACGATTTTTTAGTACGTGGTACAAGCTCTGTGGTTCTAGCGACCACAATTTGAACCTTGATGGCTTGCTTTTTTTTATTATATTAGATTTTAATATATTATATTAGACTGTCTCGCTAGCCGAGTGGTCGCAAGTGCGACTGCCGGGCAGGAGGTCTCGGGTTTGATTCCCGGGTCGGGCAAAGTATTACTGGGTTTTTAAAAAAAATCTCAGTAGTAGCACGGAGTCTGGAATTGTGTCCGGTATATGGCAATATGAACCTATTGCCATATTACATGGGACTCATAGCATAAATAGTGAAAAGTGGGTGTTACATTGTACAGTGGTATAATGTGCACCTCTGCCTACCCCTTCGGGGATAAAAGGCGTGATGTTATGTATGTATGTATTAGATTTGTTTTTCTCCACGGACTCTTGTCCGTGCCCTTGTCATTCAATTACATTTTCTTTTATTTTACAGTCAAAATTAATTGTTACAAAAATCTCACGTGCTACATTAATGGCTTGTTACACGATCAAGAATCTTTAAATGATTTCACTTTTTTTATGGCATAAGCCGGTAAACGAGCAGACGGATCACCTGATGGTAATCAATCGGCATCGCCCATGGACACCTGGAACACCAGAGGCGTTACAAGTGCGTTACCGGCCTTTTGGGGATTAGGAGTTTGAGGATCGTTGGGGATTCAGGGATTGGGGAGATTGGGGAAGGGGAGGGTAATTGGGCCTCCGGAAACCTCACTCACACGACGAAACACAACGCAAGCGTTGCTTCACGTCGGTTTTCTGTGAGGCCGTGGTATCACTCCGGTCGAGCCGGCCCATTCGTGCCGAAGCATGGCTCTCCCACACTTAAAATCTATAGACCGATCTCTCTGGCCACAGTGATCGCCAAAGTACTGGACAGTCTGCTTGGTCAGCAACTGGATAAACACGTCTCGCTAAGAGACGCGCAGTTCGGCTTTAGGCCTGGGCTTTCTACCGAGAGTGCTATTCTGTGCCTCAAGCAGACTGTACGGTATTACACGACTAGGAGGACCCCAGTATACGCTTGTTACCTTGATTTATCGAAAGCATTCGATCTTGTATCGTACGATATTCTGTGGGGGAAATTAAGGGATGAAACTTGCTTACCTAGGGAAATTGTGCGGTTATTCATGCATTGGTATAGCAATCAAAAGAATTTTGTTAGATGGGCCGGATCTCGCTCGGAGGAGTACAGGCTGGAATGCGGGGTGAGGCAGGGGGGGTTGACCTCTCCCACGCTCTTCAACCTGTACGTCGACCGATTGATCGATGAGCTCAGCAACACCGGCATCGGGTGTCATATAGATGGAGTGTGTGTGAATAATATCAGCTATGCAGACGATATGGTGCTGCTGAGCCCATCGATTGGTGCCTTGCGCGGGCTCCTGAAAATTTGCGAGTCCTACGCGGTGGCTCATGGGCTCAAATACAACGCGAAGAAAAGTGAAATAATGATTTTCAGACCAGATAACAAGCGTTACAATTTTGTTCCAAATTTCACTTTATGTGGCATAGCTCTGAACAAAGTCGAGCAATTTAAGTATTTGGGCCACTGGGTCACTGAGGACCTTAAGGATAGTGTGGATATTGAAAGGGAGCGTAGGGCGCTGTGTGTCCGGTGCAACATGTTGGCACGTAGGTTTGCACGGTGCACGGGGATTGTCAAAGTTGCGCTCTTTAAGGCGTATTGTCAGTCTTTTTACGCCTGCGGCCTGTGGGTTGACTTCACGCAGCGGACATACAGCGATCTGCGCGTTCAATATAATAACGCGTTCCGGGTGCTGATGGGGCTGCCGCGGCACTGCAGCGCTTCTGCGATGTTCGCGACTGCTAACACAGACGGCTTTCCAGCCATCATGCGCAAACGGTGCGCTTCAATCATGCGCCGCATGCGCGACAGTCCCAACGGCATCTTGTGCGCGCTGGCGGATCGGTGGGACTCTCCGATGCTGGCTCGCTGGATAAGGCTGCATGCAGTTGTATAGTGTTTTGCCACCATCATCGGGGAGTCCACCCGGACCCGCCACTACAAGTTAGTGCTCAATTAGATTAGACGTGATCAATAGTTATTATTATTACTAACACTAGTTTGTAAGCTCGCAATTGTACTAACACATATGGATGTAAATCTGAAATAAATGATTATTATTATTTACATATATTTATTTAAAATTCTCTATAAATTACATTTTTAAACACTACTTATAAAATAACAATAATATTTAAAAATATAAAAAATAGGAGCCGACGTTATTATTATTATTATTATAATGATATTACAAACCGTAATTAACTTGGCAATGATTTAAATCGTGTTTCGTAGTGTTTCCTTGACGAACAACATGATTGACAAAAGTGATTTAAACTTCGATAAATAAGTAAATTATATACATTTTCAATAGAAGTTTCCTAAATCATTAGAAAATTCGTTTATTAGAGTTATTTGGAAGCAGGAAAATGTAGACAAATGGGTACCTACTTTCCTTAACCAAAAATAAATTTTATTGACTGTTCAATACAATAAGATATTAAAATATAATCACACTTTAATTCATTGATTTTATGACCAACTTAATATTAGTATTTATCCAGTAATTTTTTTTTAAGAAATTGATATGCTGTTTGATGATAAAAAACGTGACGTCACAATACGCATTCTCGCATCAAAATAATTCATAGAAAACTGTCGTTTTTGACAGTTCGTTAAAAGTACTTTTAACTACTACTTACTAATTGTGAACACCAAAATGTTAGTTAAGACGTTAGACGACAATTGAACTCAATGATTGCTCAGCATTACGATTATTATTAAAATAAAAATAATCCTTATTAAGTGGGTGCAGATATTAACATCAATAAAGTTCTGACGCAGATACAAACTACAGTTTTGATAACTTTTCCAACAAAACGAAAACAAGAATACTATCCGAAGTGTTAAATCCACAGCAATTCAAAACTTCAACGTTTTCTCTTAAAATTTTCTATAAATATTCATAAATTTGAAGCGTTAAGATGCGAAATGCTTCTGTTGGAGTGCCCGAAATGGTTTCTCGTCATAATTGAACGTTCTAGAACATTCGTCTGGATTCCTTTTTTAAATATTTTCTTTTATAAAAGTATTATTGTTTGGTCGCGGTCAAGTGGAGTCGGTTTTGGAATATGGGTTCTCCTTTGGCAAAAGTGTAGAAGGCTTACTTTTATGTTGCTATTAAGTTAGGTATGAAGGAATTTGGTAATATATCCATAACTAGCAGCCCGTCCCAGCTTCACACGGGGTAGACAATTATTTATTTTTGGAAATTTAGATTGCTGTAGTGACATAACTACAATAGTTGGACATATGCTACCGCGGAGTTTTTTGTAGACATTATGATGTTCTTCAATATTGTTGTACATTATTTTGTTTTATCGCTAACAGTTTCGGCATCGCATTCGACGAAAGAGATTTTAATACTCATTTTTCTACACCTTCGGTTACATTGTTCAAATTTTACCAAGGATCCCTATTTTTTTCAAAACGAAATGTAGCCTATGTCAAATTGGAAGAATGTAGCATTCTGTTGGTGAAATATTTTTTTAAATCGGCCCAGTACTTTTTGAGCCTATTCATTACAAACATACAAAAATAGGTACATACAAATTTTTCCTCTTTATAATATTAGTATAGATATAGATAAGTAGCTATTATATTTGAGTTTTGTAGGTATTTTGTGTCATATTTCGGAATGTTTTATTCTCTCTGTATATAGTTACGTTTTAAACTGTCAAACACCAAGCGGTCACCGGTGACCGCAACCTATTGTTCTATAATTGTGTCTATAATGACGGTTTTTTTTTTTAAGGGGGGAAAACCATCGAATGACTGCTCCCGCCTGGGTGAGGCGGAAGGGAGTGTCAGACTCTTACTGACTAAAAACCACCCCGTTCCTTCTCCTGCACGTCGAGCCGGAGCCCCGGTTACCCGTTAGGTTCTCCGCGACGTCTATAATGACGGTACTCGAGTTAAACGTGCACTGCGATATTTATAGAGGTAGTTTCTACGCTCGTCTCTAGTTATTTTTAACTGTTAAAAGTTAGAAAAAAAAGTTAAATGACTGCACGGTTGGTGCGGTGGCTGGGCAACCGGCTGCCGTGCAACGTGTCGCGGGTTCGATTTTGTGTGATCCACAAATTGTTGTTCCGGGTCTGGGTGTCATGTGTATGTGAACTTGTATGTTTGTAAACGCATCCACGATACAGGTGATAATCCTAGGGCGGGGCAACGTTTAAAAAAAAACTACACATATAATAAAATCGTAGGCAAATAAAAACTGTACATCGAATATTCTTTTTAATAATACTTTGGGCGTGATCTACAGTCGATACGGAAACCAAAAATTTGGTTTTTAGAATTTTTGTCTGTTTGTATGTATGTCCGGGATGAACTCAAAAAGTGCAGCATGGATTTACTTCAAATATTGCATGAATATTATTAACAGGTCAGGTCAACATATAGGTTACATATTATCATGCTATCAACTACGGGGGAGGAGCTGTGAATCACTATTCCACACGAACGGGCTCAACTAGTAGTACCTATGTATATAGGTAGCTCTTATATTTTAAGAATTTAGTATTTCTGCATCACCCTACGGTTGACTGTTAGAGAATGCCACTAGGCATTAGGTAAGTCCGCCATTGTATACCTATTGTAAAAAAGTGTAAATAAATAAATAAATAAAATTCGTAAAACTCGGCTGTTGTTGTCAGTACCTTCAGCCTAACAATAAAAACTTGAATTTATTTTAATGGTGTTCATTCGTTGAGTCTTCCTGAATATTTTTCTTACTCCGAAAGGGTTTCCTTAGATTTTAAATAGAACCCAAAAAAATTTGCATAAAATCTTTAAGTGCTCTCATCGACATCTCCTCCTGCTTCATGACGTAAAAAAAAACAAGAAAAAAAAAAGAAAAACGAAGCATTTCGTTAATTTTACTTTTGTCTGTACGAAATTTTTTTCAGCGTACTCGTTAAAATTATTTAATACTATAAAAACTGTAGCGAAGGAGATCTATTTCATAATTTTGAACTTCGAAGGCCTTGTTCTATATTTGTTTTAATAATTTTAGCAGAGGCAGTTCTTTGTTATATTTTGGGTATAATTACGTCATATAATATAATTATAGTTTTAAGTGAACGAAACTGTCGATTCAGATGTATTATAGTTTTCAGCTTACTCACATAACTGTTTAACGAGAACAGAAATATTACTAATACAAGGTGTAGTTTTAAAACCGTGGCATTTCTCGGGGGCATGTCACAGAAGTCTTCGTTCGTTCAATGTAAGAGAAAGTTTCGGGCCAACAGTTAAAAATACGGCTATGATAAGTCGTTTAATTTCGACAGTATTTCAGAATAAGCGACAGGAATGTTTCTTAATGGAGTTTTATGGAATTAGAAATAATATTAATTACGTGTTTGAGTTTGTGTGTGTTAAGCCGCGTTATAAAACTAGGTACAAAACGGCGGCGTGTAGTTCGCACTTATGGATTTCCATAATTTACAGAAAAATGATTGATGATGACAGAAATATTTACCTACAATTTTTTTTTATTGATTCGGACTCAGAATCGATAGCCGAGTTACCTCCTAGAAAATGACGCAGCTTTAAAACAACACCTTGTACAAATATGTCAAAATAAAGAAATATACGTTCGAATTTTTTATTTAATAAATTAGTTCACATGTCATATTGTATCGTTGAAAGTGTATTCGTAAAGTTTTCATTACTTTTTTGCAAATAGAACAGTTCAAGTAATATTACTTACAGGAGTATTGTTTAAAACGAAAGTTTCCTTTGAAGTAAGAACTTGTTTGAAACACCTCAGGGTTAGGAAATTTTACGTCTATGTAACATACTCTAACACTGTCAAATACAGGCTTTGATCGATTCATAACATAACATAGCGCCTTTTATCCCCGGAGGGGTAGGCAGAGGTGTACATTACGGCACTTAATGTCACTGTACAATGTAACATCAACTTTTCACTATTTATGTTATGAGTCCCATTTAATAGGGGGTGACGCTATTGTCGGGCACAATTCCAGGCACCGTGCGTACTAGTGAGAATTAAAAAAAATCTATGCTCGACGGAATGGAACCCGAGAGCCCTTGCCCAGCTATCGCACTTGCGACCACTTTGTCAACGAGGCAGGCTTTGATTGATACGATTGATATTAAAGAAATAGTTTATTTCCCCACCCTCCCTACAGGTGTCGTAAGTAGTACTAAGAGACTATAAGTTTAATAGGGCTAGTAGCTAAGTATGGAAGTTATAGCAAACTCCTCTTATGTAGAGAAGGCCTATAGTCTCAGTGGACTACCATGGGGTGTTCATTAGGATGCAATGTGTGTGTGGACCCTGTTGTTTTGTTGTACCCAGTCATCTAAAGAAATGATTTTCAGCACGAATGGGCCGTCTCGACCAGACTGATTCTACGGACTCACAGAAAACCGACGTGAAACAACGCTTACATTTTGTTTCGTCACGTGAGTGAAGTAACTGGAACCTAATTGCCCCATTCCTTAATTTCTCCAATACCCGTATCTCTAACAATCCTTAAATTCGTAATCTCTAAAAGGCTAGCGGCACTTGTAACGTCTCTGGTGTTTCGGCTGTCCATGAGCGGCGCCGATTGCTTACCATCAGGTGTTCCGCCTACTCGTATATCTACCGGCTTATCCCATAAAAATACTAAGGAACGGATTATTGTGTAATACATTCTATTTATCGATTTTAAACAACGATTTATCTAAATTAACTCCACCGTCATGTATGACCACTTAACCGAAAAATCGTTTAAAATTCAATGTGTTTTAGAAGTAGGAGCTTGAAGATGCATGCACCAGTGGACCGTAAGGACAATAAACTACCGTAGACATCCCATGAGCCACAAATCACGGCATGCACTGAACTACACAATGGGTGGGGAGACCAGAAGGTTA